CATTCTGTTTTCTTTCAGGAGCGGAGGAAAAGGTCCTTAACTCTCCTTCAGGGACTCCGAAGAAATCAAAAGTTGAGCCATACAAATTGACGTCTCAGCAGAAATCTCTTATAAGAAATGATGAAGCCAATGAAAAACTGTGGAATGAAGTACTTGACGCTCTTAAAGATGGACCGGTAAATCATGCTTGTCATTCCTGAAATAAAGTGATGGTTAACTTATCCCTAGATATAAACTTCTTGGCTGTGCAAGGAAGTAGCTTCAGATTGTTAGTATTTTTTTTCATTGTGGGCATCCACAGCATAACTTTAAAGCACTGGTTCGTACTCGTATTTAAGACCAATAGGAAGGAGAGGAACTTGCTAATTTTTTTTTTTTTTGTGTGTGTTGAGCTTTGTAGAAAAATTGCTTGTATCTTTCATAATATAATAAATAGTTCAAATGTTTTCTTTACAGAAATTTCTAAATAAAGTTGAAGAGGCTTTCTTGTGTATTTGCTGCCAAGAGGTGGTGTTTCGGCCAGTCACAACTGTATGCCAACATAACGTGTGCAAGGTGAGCAGTTGGTGCAACTCTCCTGTTAAGCAGTTGAGCCAACAAACCTTGAACTGACTCGTTTAGTGATGAGATTTTGTTTTGACTCAATCTTTTAGCAGGATTCAGGTATTTATGTGAAAACTTGTGATTTGATAATAGTTCTTTGGCACATAAAAGTTGATGCTTTAAGGAAAACTCCACTGCTGTATTGCTACTATCAGATTATTTTAAAAGAGGGTAATGAGAGCTTATCTGTGGATTGAGTAATACTGCTCAGTGACACTGGAGTCAACAGTGTTACAAAGCATATGGGTTTTTAGTCTGTTTCTCCTTAGAGGTATGATGTGAACTGTTCTTATGGAAGGTAGAGTAGTCTTTAACATTTCTACCATGCCCTTAAACACTGTGTCCATGACAAATGTGCTCTGAAGAACATGGACTTATTATAATAGTGGTTGCAATGAAGGAAACTTTCTTTCCTATGACAAACCTGGCAGCACTTTGGGGCTTTCTCAGCTCTTGTCAAGTACCTAGGGGGAGTTGGATGTAGAAGGAATCTCAATTTCCAATAGGGGCTGCGTAGAATAAGCGGAACTGCAAGTCTTTCTATTCTTGACCAATTTCTTTATTCATCCTTCACCAGGATTGTTTGGATAGGTCCTTCAAAGCTGATGTGTACAGTTGTCCAGCCTGCCGCTACGACCTTGGCAAAAATTATACCATGCAAGTGAATGAAACACTGCAGACCATTCTAACTCAGCTCTTTCCTGGATATGGCAACGGGCGGTGATTCCGTAAAGCACTTCTAATTTTCTTTTATTCAAACTTATTAATGGATTTTACATGGGCTTAATTTAAGAAAACAAACAAAAAAAGTAGTTGGTGTTCTCCCAGACCCTTAAAAAACAACAACAAAAAAATACCCAACATATTTCTTTAAAAAAACAAACAAACAAACAAACAAACAAAAACCAAAAACCTGAACCTTCCATATGTCCATAGATTTTGGTTTTTTTGTTCTAAATGCTGAACTTTGTACAATTATTTGCCCCTCAAAACTGCCATCCATCAGCACAGTTTATTATATATATATTTTTTTTTAATGGGGATTTACAAAGTGCTTCTGGTAAGGCTGCTGACAATTGTGAAAGTTTTTCTGCTTTTTCTGTCCCTTCTCCCCACCTTTTTATTTTTGTTTTATTCAAAAAAAATGGCTTGGTTGCTAGAACAATCTTCAACATTTGGGATTTGGGCATAAAAGTAGATTTGTGCATCACCCTGGCAGCATTTTGGTGTGTAAGATGGTTCCTGGCTTATGACTTCTGTTTTTCTAACACAAGTGGGTATTTGTTATTTTTTCAATAACTGTTTTTATACATTTGACAAAACTTATCAAAGCCATTTCCTGCTAATTTTGTATGTTCAAACAAACTACTGGCTTATAGTCAAGTAGTTAGAGCAATATGAAGTACTACCTCAGTTGGACTTCTTATTAGGGAACTATTTGTTCAGCCAGATTCTGTTTTCTGTCCTGAAATGCCATTATGGAATATACTAAAGCCATTCTTAAGTGCCTTTTTTCTTTCTTTTTTTTGAAATACTGGGCCCAGAATCACCGTATATATGTATTATCTTTTTTCATAAGCACTGAATTGTTTAAACCTGCCAACCGGATTTTGTTCTTTGAGTAAAATATAACACTGTAGCTGTATATGATTAGCATGGATTTGCAAACTTTCAGGTTTCCTCCTAATGCTAGGTGTGTGATGGTAACGTGAATTTATATATATATATTATTTTTTTCCCACTGTGTTTCTACCTAGAAATGGAGAATAATTAATTTTGGAACTTTGGAAACATTTTGGTTATTGTATATGACACCAGTGAGGCTTGCTTTTGTGAATGGATTGTCTTTTTCTAACATAATCAAAGTTTGCAGTTTAATACCTCAGCAAGACAGAGATGTTTTTAATCACATTTGACTGCAGACAGACTGGAACAAACGTGCCTGGTTTTGTTTTTCTTTACTCTTACAAAATTATAATGTTAATATGTTAGGGGAAAAATGTTTTATAGGCTTTTTGCTGAATTTGTTAATTTTTGTACAATGTGCAAGTTGAAGTTCTCAAAATAAATATCTTTTCAGATGAAGGTGTTGGCTGTTCTCCTTTAACTCTCTGAAACAGGTTTCCAGACCTAATTGCTTGTGCAGGACTTTTGTATTCATCTTTCATTACTCTAAGCCTCTTTTAATTTTTAATACTTACTATTTTTCACTATAGAGAAATAATGGAAAAACTACTTTGATATTCTTGTACTCAAAATATTTCATAGTCAGCACTGGAGAAAAGTATATGGTATATTCAATTAAAATACAAAAAACAAGATTCTGAGCATCTCTTCAACTTTCAGGGGGTTAACTTTTTAGTTAGATTTCCACACTACTATAACCCAAATGTAAAAGATACGTTTTTTTTCCTACTCAAATGTAGCTAAAATAAATGGAAAAAAATATAGGCATTTAAGATGTTGCATAATTTCACAGCTTTGGTTTTCAAACGTTGTTTAGTTGCCCCCTTTAAGTTTATTTTAAGGTTAGTGTTAACACTTAAGCATTTCAGTTTCAGGTCTTTAGTTTCTACTGAAAACATTATTCTACTTTTTAGTCTAAGTTGTGTTGAGAAGAATTGGTGGGTGGGAACAGTTCAGGAAATACGTATATTTAAGTGGGATCTGTTGCAATTGACTCCCCTAGTATATTGTTTCTTATAATTTGGATTTTAAAAAACAGTTTGTTCTTCCATATAAATTTCAATTGTACTGTTCTGAGTTTTTGTTTATATAACATCAATTAGGATAATTCTACTGCAAATTAGATGCTTTGTAACTTCGGCTTGCAGATCTCAAAACAGAGCTCCACTAGCAAAATTACTGTGCTATAAGATGAGATAGTGCGTGGCTGTAAATGAGGTTTGCCCTGGGTTTTTTTGGTTTGGTTTGTTTGTTTTTAGTGTTAGTAGAATGGTGTTTCATTTCCTGTACAGACTTGTGTATACTGGTACTGTGTATATTGGTTATACATATTATAGAGTAAAAATCTAGTATGTGATTTGGTAAAGTAACTGTTTTACAGATAAAGAACCAGAAAGCAAAAAAAGCGGTGTTGAAAGAACAGCATAAGGATCTTTTATTTTGTGAATTCCCATCCTTTCCTAGTAAGTGTATGAAGTCTGTGGTCTGCATGACTTAACTGCATATGAATTAAAAAATGCCTGATACTTCATCGTGGTAGAGGTCTGTGATGCTGTAACTGCTGCCAGTTGGGGCAGAGTTCTGTGCTATGGTGACTGCGGGAGGCAGTCAGTGCTGGGCAGGCTGCAGGCACTCATCCCAACCTGTAGCATCTCTGCAGCAGATGGGCAAAAGTGCGGTTTGGATGGGCTCCTTCCAGTGGCTAAACTTCACTGTGTGGCACTGTGTGGGAAAGTGAAGTGTTGGTAAAGCACAAAGGTGTAAGGAATAAACTAACTGGGAAGAGGTACAGTGTGAGTAGTTACAGTTAAATGCTTTCTGAAAGTCTAGCTTATGTAGGATGGGGAACCTAAAACCTGTTATGGGCTCCTGCTGAGGAGCTGATTTCACTGTCTCCTTTGCCTTCCCCAGGTTTGAGCCCTCTGGGGTTCTGCCTTTCAGCTTAGGTGAAAGGTGTAGAGCATAGCCAGGGCTGTTTCCAAGCACCTCCGTTGTGGCCCAACAGGTGTATGCAGGTGAGTGCCCAGAGTCTTTTATGGCAACGTGGCTACCTTGAAATGCAACGTTCTGTTTTTAACCTCTACTACAGCGGTATTGCCACTGACGACTTCCTCTGACGGGCACCCCAGTGAGGAGCTTGAAAGTAGACTGCACAAGGGCCTGAGCTGGACCTCATGGTAAGACCACCCCAAGGGAACAGCGCTCAGGGCAGAGAACCCGTCACGGCCCGGTTCGCGCCTGAGACAGCGCGGCCCGCCGGGGGGAGGGGGCGGGGGGGCAGCCCCTCCCCGTCCTCCATTGGCGCAGGGCGACCGCAGCGCCCCCCCCTCCCCGCGCGCTGCTGTGCGGCTCCTCACGTACTCGCCGCCCCTCGCCCCGCCGGAGCGCAGGCCAGCGACGTACTGACCGGCAGCCCACTCCGCCTATGGACGGCCACAGTAGACGTCTTTCGCCCAATAGCAGCAGAGGGTGGGACACTGTCTTCCCGTTGCCGCTTCCTATTGGCAGGAAGCCGCTGAGCGACGGGAAAGCCACGGGCTGATCAGCCTGCTGGTGGGCGGGCCGTCCATCGGAGCTCTCCTCCAATCGCTGCTCGCGCTCCCCTTGTTGTTCGCTGCCCGGTAACTCCACGGGCCGTAGGCACCGTCGTTCACCTGCGCGTCGCCCAATCGAGCCGAAGGTGGAGCCGGCTTCACCCAATACGCGTGGCGAGGAGGCGGGCGGCAGGTGCTGGCCCAGAGCGAAGCGCTCTTTTGCCGCCCCCCTTCCGCTCTGCCTGTCGCCGGGCCGCTCGGGCGCTGCGCTGACGGCAGCTGGGGGCCGCCGCCTCCGAGGGGACCGCCCGCGGCTCAGGTACCGCCGCCCGTCGCGCGGGGTCTTCCTCCGCCGCCTTCCTCCGCCGCCTGCGGCTCCGCCTCCGGGGCCGCGGCGCTCGGAGCCCCCTGCGCCTCAGCGCTGCCCCTCGGGGCGCCGCGCTCCGGCCCTCGGCCCTTTCCCTCCGTTCCCGGTCCCTTCCCCGCGAGCGGCCCCTCCCCTGCTCGTCGCGGGCCCGGCTCTGCCTTTCGCTTCCGGACGGCGGCGTGCCGCGCCTCCTCCTCGTCGTCGTCCTCCTCCTCCTCTCGGCCCGGCCCAGCGGGATGCGGCCCTAGGCCTGGCCCACGCCTCCTGGCCCGCTGCTTTGTCCCCGCGGGGCTCAGGCCGCAACCCGGCCCGGCGCTGCCGGTGGCTGCGCGCCGCGATGGCGAGGCGGTGCGTCCGGGGCCCAGCGGGCAGCGGAGACCTGCGGCGCGACGCCCAGTGTTTTATTGTTATCTTTTCAGTAATTCATTTAACTTCTAGAGACTGCCAAATTCTGGGGCCGAAAGCAGGCTTTCCTCCCTTCTCGGTATAAATACGCCCGTGTTCATGCGCGGCCATCCCTGCCGGCATCGCTGAGCTCGGTTCCTCCTCCTTCTCGCGCAGCGACACGAAGCGGCGCGATGGGCCGCTCTGCTGCTGTCACACTGCTGACCTCCCCCGGCCTTTGGTTGCATGGCTGCCGTATGTTTAATTTTCTCTTTAAGAAATAGGTAGAACCTGAGTGAGGTTCTATACTTTTGTGATGTACGCAGTGAAAGGTGAAACCGTTCAGGAAATTATCTGAAGGTGGCAGTGAGGCTTTCCTTCTGCTCTGCCTCTGGTTCTTTAAGATGGGACGGGTGGCTGCGTTGGAGCTGGATATATTGTAGCAAAACTCCTTTAAACTAATTTGTTTTGCAGGGTTAAAGCCCCGCTCAGGTCTACTTTTATGTATGTTCTCTAACTTTTATAGTTTTTTAGGAAAGCTGCAGTAGGGAATGGGTGCTGCTCAGGGACACCAAGTGTTCTTGTGTTTCTGAGACAAAAAATAGTGGGTTTTGGAGTGTGACCAGATAGTCTTTTTGGCTGGGCAACATAAATAACCCATTGTGTTACAGCAAGTTAGACTTTTCCATAGTTACTTTCCTTTAACCAGAAGAAGTGAGTTTTCAGGAACTCTGTCCGTTGGAAACCTAACAATGTTTTCTTTTTTTCTCTTTTCGCACACAGTAAATCACTTCTTTCTTAGGGGCATCTCTATTTTTGAGGTTTATGCCTATTTCCTTGTATTTCTACTGTTCTGTTAGCAGGACTGCAATTACTAGAGCTCTTAGGATTACAGTTTAAAACTTAGTTATCTTTTGGCAATTACATAAAATGACTGCTGGAGTACATGTGGGTAATTGGTTCTGTGACAGTAAGATCCTAGTTCTCCACTTCCCCTGTAATAAATAGAGAAGATTGAGACAGGGAGACACAGAGCCTGAAAGAATCCGTTAATTCCATCTTAGAAACTGTGGGAGTTGCTCCTGTGTGCAGTGTATGTAGGTGGTGCACTTGATTCTTTGCTGCAGAGCAACTGTTTTTGGATGATACACTGAAACTTCCATTGCCAGGAGTGTCTTGTCCAATTCTCAGTAACGAGTTGTTACTTCTTTTTAGTTCCCTGAAAGGAGATAGTTCACCTAACCAGCCTAGTGAGAGCAGCATGGGCATGGTCCTGTGAGCCAGAAGTTTGTTGCAGCAGGAGATTAGAACATGCGGGTGAAGGTGAAGAGTTTTTGTGCAGATCTGCTGTTCCAAGTTTGACATATGTTTAAGTATATTAAGTAGCATGTATTTATACTTAAAGACTTCACATGTGTAAGAAGTTTAATCAGCTTTTGGTGAGAAGTTGATAACAAAAGACTGGGAAAATTGCACTTATTTGCTGTAGACAGTGCTGATTGTTGGTCTCAGGAAGACAATTATCCTAAACTACTCCTCAGTGCTTGAAACTGTTAGAGCAAAACTTACGGAAAACTACTTCCAGTGATACAATTGGCCTTGCCATTTAAAAGACAAAGCAGAAGGATTTGCTTTACAGATTTGCAGACAGTGGGCTTTGTAAATTCTCAAATGTGGGTAAGTTGGAGTCGGTTTTATGTAACAGGAATCAAGAAATTTTATATGGTTTGGGAAAACCAGTTTGTCCGGCCCCACTGGGTGAGCGTGTTGGCTGTATATTTCTTTGTGTGCTTTATCAAGTGATGTATTTTTGTTTTCTTTTGGAGTGCCCAGCTCTAATACAATAAACAGTCTGTTGTCATAGTTAAGTATAGTTAATGTTCAGAATTTACATCTCGTTTTGAAAAACAGGAAAGTTCATGCTTAGAAATAACAGCACTGACTTGCTGCAGGCTTACCTAACATCGCGTAACACATCATGAAAATCTCTTTGCAGTTAGACAAATTAAAAACTTTTATTACCTTTTAATTTCTTCCAGTCAACGTAGAGAACTACATAGTAGAGATTTCTCATTCCTTCTGACACACTTTACGGTATTTTGTGCTGTTGAAATGGATGTGGAGGGCCCGTTACTCTCCGTTCATTGTGCCATATGCAGTGTTACTTGCAATACAGCATCTGTTAACTTCAAAGATGGATGATGGCAGAATATGTCACTGCCAGCAAGGGATTTGCTTTGTGGATTTGGATGCCATCAGCATGCTCCGTGGTTGTGCACGGCGCTGCTTGAAGTGATTGTTTGTCATCTGTGTGGGAATCAAAGGTTGGTTTGTCACTGACGGCGCACTGAAACCTCTGGCTATTGCAGAATATTGGCAATAGTGTTGTCATTGTATGGAGGCTTGGCAATATTAATGTTGTGATGGTATTATCTGTATAAAGTCATTGTGGCATGAGGGTTATTTTTTCCCTTTTCCATGTTTTTCAGTAAATAGATCACTACTTAGCATGTTTTTAGCTTTCCTTTGGACCGAGTATGTCCTTGTCACAGCTTATGGGTATCGTCACTTACTACCATGGCTTAATTATTGAAGTATTTGTGTTTTCATTCAGCGAACTGTTTTGTTTCATACCTTAAGAGCTCCTCCATTGCATCCTTACTGGATGGCTGCTGACACAGGAGAATGCATTTGTGTCCCCTTGTGCTACTTGTGCGTTACTTTGTTATTTTGAATAAGATCTTTAGTCTTTATATGCGTCAACCAGGGCAGAAATGGCTTGCAGTCTTCATTTATTTTTTTTTTATGCTTAGCTTCCTTTCTGTTTCAAAAGAATTTCTTGAAATCCATGGGATTGTTCTGTTGTTTCCTAAACCATTTGGCAAAAATACTGTATTTGAAATCCAGCCTGAGAAGAGGACATTGGAAGTTGGGATGTTCAGGTGCTTTCGTGAGGAGTTCTGATGTTCCTTTACAGTTTCTGATGTGTGTTCAGAGCAGTGGGGAAGGTTTTGGTGGACCTCTGTGGTTTGCTGTTGTGGATAAGCAGTTTGTGTGAATGAAGGTTGCCACATTTATTCCCAGTTCTGTGTTGGCAAAACAAGCAGTGCTGCTTTGGCTATGGTGTGAGTTAAGGTTTGGGACTGCAGCTTTGAGAGGGGAGAACTGAGCTTGAGCTAGGACAGATTGAAGTTGTCAAACACTGCCTTAAAGTACCTTTTTTTCCTCCCAGCTCTGCTCAAATATAGGTTCTAAACTTTCACTCCTTTGAGTCACAATTTTAAAATGGATGTGAAGTGTATGCTTGGAGCCTATTTCTTGTTTTCCCTTCTCTGTGTGAAAATGACCATGTAAGTTACTTACAGTGCAGCTGAGGACGGATGTTCTTGTTGAAGTGCTGCTGCTCAGTGCTGCTTTCCTACTCTGCCTTCTGCTCCATCTCTTCCTGGAGATCAGTTCCTGGTGGTGCAGCTGCTCCTAAGCTCAGAATCTGGGTCAGTGTGTCATACCCACTCCATGCTGAACTTATTGGTACCTTGTGCCAAAAAAAAAAAAAAAGCAACCAAGTTTCCAAGTTTTTGATTTTATGTTGGCAAAATAGCAACATTAATTAGAGCAGTATTCTAAGCAGCTAATTTGTTGAAATTCTGCCTTATCCAGATAAGACATTGAGTGAGCTGCTGAGACATATATGTATGTGCGTGTTTTTTTGTTTTTTTTTTTATTCCCTCAATATCTGGAACTTTTCTTGCCTTGTTTTGGACTGTTTATCTTAGATGGTTTTCTACAAGGCTGCATAATTCCCTGCTCTTTCGTAGCATACTGAGCTGTAGAATTTAATTTCTCAGCTGCTAACAGCAGATTTACTGGTACTACAAGTGTAGCAATGTTTGTTGTCTGCACTGATTAGGTGGAGAGTCAGTAGGTTCAGCGTTCTGTAATAAAAGAGCAGTCTGGCTGCAGAGCACCAATAACCCTCGTTCGTTTTGGGGCATGTACAAACTCCAGCTTATGCAGCTGATAACAACTCTCCTGTTTGTGAATAGGGATTATGTTCTAGGAGGGGAACTTGTTATAACTGTGCCTTCTGAAAAAGTTTTATCACTTAAGTTTTTTTTCTGTAAGTGGTTCAGAGGATTGAAATGTGGTTTTTTTTGTCTCCTGGTGGGACTGTGGTTCAGTGAGGTGGCTTTGCGTTGCTGCCATAGGAGTCCTACCCTTGTAACTATGCTGCATATGCTCCCCGCTCATCACATTTTGTGGCACTGTGGCATTTGGCACAGGAGAAGAACAAACGGCCATTGATGGGGGCTTGGTAGCTATCCAGGTTGGTACTGCTGCGAAACTTCTCCCTTCTAGCCATGCCCAGCCACCTTGTTTGTTCAGTGTAATTCTGATGGTTGTGGTTCTTTTTCCTGCGGCAGACTGTGATGCTGCTGCTAGAGCATTGCCCACTGCAGCACATTTTGAGCTCTCTGTTGGCGCTGGGTTTTTTTTTTTTTTTTTTTTTTTTCCTTCTTTCTGTTCCTGACTGCGGGTAAAACTGCAAATAAACTGAAAGGCATCCATGAAGCAGATGGCATTGGCGCAGGTTCTGCTCAGGAAGGAGCTTGGGTTTCTCTCTCTGGGCCAGACACATCGGCCCGGCTGCGCCAGTGTTTGTGGCAATTCTGCTCCTGCTTTTAAAAATAGCAGAAGCATTCTCAGTGCGACTGCATTTGAGCACAGATTTGGGGATGGCATCTCTACATGTCTCCAGTGCTCACGTCCCACATCTCCAGTGCTCACTTTTCTTCTGTGTTTCCTTGTGGACAGTGCTTTCTTCAGTAACCCACACTCAATTATGGCTGCCCTGAGCTGGGTGCCAGTTGGCCCAGAGGGCTTCCATCAGGGACAGGAGGTGCTGGTTCCTATTTTTATGTTTCTGTAAAAAATTTGTGTAGTAAATTGCTTGTGCACAAATGCATTAGATGTTTCTTTTTCTAAAATATGGACCACAAAGTGTAGCAAAATCCTTTCTGTATGGCAGGATTGGGAATTTCTTCAGGCAGGGCTGCACTGAAGATGAAAGTGATTGGTAGAGGTTGCCCCTCTACTCTGTGCTGGTGAGGCCTCACTTGGAGTGCTGCATCTAGATGTGGAGTTCTTAGTACAGGAGAGATATGGAGCATGTCTGGAAGAGGGCCTCAAAAATGATCTATGGAATGGAACACCTGTCCTGTGAGGTCAGGCTGAGAGAGCTGGGGTTGTTCAGCCTGGAGAAGAGAAGGCTCTGAGGTATCTAAAGGGGAGCTACAGGAAAGAATGGGAGTGACTGTTTAGCAGGGTCTGTGGTGATAGAAGAAGGGGAAGTAGCTTCAAGCTCAAGGAGGGTAGACTTAGGTTAGATACAAGAGAAAAAAAAAATCTTGCACAGCAAGGGTGGTGAGGTGCTAGAATAGATTGCCTAGTGGTGTGGGTGATACCCCATCCCTGGAGGCTTTCAGGGTGGTGCTGGATCAGGCCCTGGGCAACTTGACTGAGCTGTGGCATCCCTGTTCATTGCAGGGGAGTTGGACTAGGTGTCCTTCAGAGGACCCTTCCAACTCTAAGGATTCTATGATTCAAGAGAACAGAGGACAGTGACTTCTGGCAGAAATGTGGTTGTTCCTGGCACTTGAGGTAAGGAGTGAAGGGTTTTGCCCAAAAAGGTTTTAGTTCCAAGCCCTACAGAACTGTAGTGGTCAGGAATCGGACTCTGGAGCCCCTCAAAAGCAGCTCCCTACAGCAGCTGCACAGAAGAGCACCCAGGGGGACCAGAACATCTCCAGGGAAGGAGACCCCAGCTCTCCGTGCCGCGCTCACAGCACAGAAGTTCTTCCTCATGTCCCTATGGAACTCCCCGGGCTCCAGTCTGTGCGCGGCGCTCCTCGTCCTGGCGCTGAGCACCACCGAGCAGAGCCCGGCCCCATCCTCCTGACCCCCGCCCTCCACATATTGATCAGCGCTGATCAGATCCCTCCCAGCCTTCCCTTCCCCACGTGAACAGCCCCAGGGCTCTCAGGCTGTCCCCATCAGGAGGTGTTCCAGGCCCCCACCATCTCTGCAGCCGTTCCCCGTCTGCCTGGAACTGGGCAGCCCAGCTCTGGGTGCCGTGCTCCAGCTGTGCTTCCCCGGAGCAGAGGGGAGGAGAACCTCCCTGCCCTCTGGCTCTGCTCTGTGCAATGTACCACAGGGAACCATTGGCTGCCTTGGCCGCAGGGCGCACTACTGGCTCGTGGTCACCCCATTGCCTGTCAAGACAAATGAGTTCATTTGCCTCTGAAAGGAAGAGTGTTTTACCCTATTAGAATTGTAAAGGAAACCTCGGTGTTTCTGGAGATCTGGGTGCTGCGACTGTGTAGTTTTTGGTAATTGCGGGATGGGCTCTGGAGAAATAGATGTGTTCCGTGCTCACTGATTAAAGCCATGATATGGCAGCCTGTCTCTCTGTTTGCTAACACAGAGAGTACTTTTAGTAGGATCTGGAATACTTCTTCATTAGGTCGAAGTCGATTTAAATTCAACCCCGCTTGTGTTGCTGGCAGCTGATGTTGAGTGTGGCCGCTCTTAGAGGGCGCCCCGCGGTGCCCTCTGCTGGCAGCACCAACGCTGCACCGGATCCACTCCGACGCGGAGCTGCTGCGACTGAACTGCCGTTGAAACTTATTGTTTGCATTCTAAGTTTCTAGGATAGCCTGATAAAAGTCTGTTTTCAAAATGGTGATTTCATCCTGAATTGCTTCGGGTTCTTTTTCCCTGCCAATTTTGAAATAATTGAACAATTTGGCTTTTCATGTTGGAAGGCACTTTGACGTTACACTTTTTTTTTTTTTTTAATGAATTGCCTGGCACTTTTCTTTGTGCAAATGCAAACAACGTGTAATGACACCACCTTTTAAAAAAGATCCTGATGTAATGTTTTATGTAATCTAGCATGGCAAAAAAAACCAAAACAAAACAAAAACAAAAAAAAACCAGAGGAAATACTGGCTAATACATTTCCCAGAGCTGGTGAGTTGTTGTTGTTGTTGTTTTTTTATTTTTGTTGAAACTAAATATAAAATCATTCAGATGGGAAGCTTTGAGGGACAGCTAGTTCCATGTGTGCTGACATATGTTGGAGGTAGGGAGGAGTTTGTTCTTCACTACCGTTCTGGTGAGGCACAGTTTCAGATGATGAATGGAAGGGGCCAATATTAAGTCTCTGAGATATATTTAGGCAGCACTTGAACTCTCAAGTGATACTGGTGTTCCTGTCATATTCCGCAGTTGTTTCCTCTGTGTAGGCTTGGTTACGCAGCTACAAATGCACTCACGTTAGTGCGGCATTCTCCTGTATGGAAGTGAGAAGTCAGCACTGTGAAGGCAGCTGTTTTAGAAATGAGTGCTGTCACATATTTCAGCTTTGAATGCCTTGACAGAAGACAGTAGTGAAATGGGAGAAAACCTTGTGGAGTTTGCTGATACTTCGCTCTTCTTAGAGCCCTGCAAACAAATAGACATTTGGATTTTTGATCAGAAATCCTTCATATCCATGTTAGAGTTTTCTGCTTTTAAATACTTCCTTGGAGAGTGGGAGGAGAGAGAAATCCCAAATATTGCTACCTTTCTATGAAATTCAATAAAGCATGTAGAAAGAAAATAATGATTAATTACTGTTTGTTTTTTTTTTTTCCTTCCTGATTTGTTTTCACTGCTTAGGTGCTGCCACCCTCCTGAAAATATGGGGTCTGAAAACCCAAGTCCACAGAATCCTGGCTGTAAGATTATGACCTTTCGTCCCACCCTTGAGGAGTTTCGGGACTTTGGGAAATACGTTGCATACATTGAATCACAAGGAGCTCACCGAGCAGGGCTTGCCAAGGTGAGTTCACCCCGTTCTGGGAGTTGAAGGCTTTCTGAAGAATGCCTTCCTGAGGCTCTTTTGCCAAAGCACCTGTGCAGTGGTATCACTCAGAAGTAGTGTTCTTTTGTGTAGTCAAGTTTTTTAAAATTTTATTTCCAATCTCTGCATTTTGATTTATCAATAAAATAGAGGCAAAGATGTTATGGTCCTTTCACAAGAGTGAAATAAGCGTGTAGTTAAACTATATGTATTTCTGATCCCCAGTGGGAAAACAAAAACATTCTCAGCCCTTACAGAGATCAGTTAAGGGTACTGCCATGTCCCAAGTCTATTGCTGAAAATAGAGACGATGGTAGCCAAGGTCCTCAAGGAGCTCTGAGGTTTTCAGCTTCCTCAGATTGTTGGGTAAAGCATCAAGTTTTTCAGGTCTGCTTAGGGTTGGATAGGGAATTGGGTCTGAAGTCACATCTATATGCATGGGTGCAGACTTCTTACTCTTAGCTTTTTTATGCCCTAAGCAACTACTTTGTGCTAACTTGAATCTGGACCTGTAAATGTGACATGCAGGTATGTGTTCCCCAAAAGCACCGGAAAACCCTGCAGCTAGCTCTGAAACCTCTTTCCAGCTTTCCTTCCCATCCATGTCTTTACATTGAAGCTGATGAAACATTATGAGAACTCTTCATGTTATACTTTAAAATCCCAGTGCATGACATGAAGCATATGACATGCCGCTTGGGAAAGAAAAACAGCTAACTGTCTAGGATTGTTTCTGTAGTAGTGTCATGTTGCTCTATAGCTGAGAGAGCATTTGTTCTGACAAAGTAGTTGTTAAACTTGGTATTTAGCAGAATCTAATAAAGCACAGCAGAGAAGTAAAGCTTTAGGGTGTGAAATAGTAATGATTTCTTTTAAAATAGGTCAATTACTGTTTTTATTGCAGTCATAAGTAGAGCAAAGTACTGATAAAAGGCTGTCTGTGAAATGTTTCCTTGTCCACTCAAGTGTACTGGCAATTATGTTTCATGGGTTGGCTGAGGTATTTTAATAAAGGTTGTTGGTGAATTGCTGATGTTATAGAGAAATGACTTCCTGTAGGACTAAATCTCAGCATTTCAAGTTATTTTTTCTGTTTAATTTATTGCAGCTACCGTTTAGAGCCGTGTTATAGCAGTAGAGCTCATCATATCCTAAAGGAACCATCGCTACAAAAATCACTAACTTCACATTCTCATAATGTTTTGGGTTCGGGTTGTTTTTTGGGTTTTCTTTTTTTTTTTTTTTTTTTTTTTTTTTTTTTTTTGTCAATTCTTCCACCAAATTAGACTGTGGATACATATATATATTATTTTTTTCATTTCACTTGCACACTGGATGTTCACAGATGTGTCCCTGTAATCCAGAAACACCCACAGGAATAATGGAACAGGATCTAATAGAAGGTATCCCTGCACGTGGCAGGCTTTGGGACTGGGTGGTCTTTAAGGTTCCCTTCCAATCCAAACCTTGCCATGATTCTGTGATACCATTTGTGATTGTGAGCCTTCCTAGTTTAAAAAACAAACAAATAAAGCAAAAACAACATCCTCCCTCTTTAATGTTTCTGATCTTCTAGATGCAGTAGTAATGTAGACCGAGGTGAAAGAATTTGGTTGGTTATTTGAGATGCTGCTGTTATCAGATAACATATAGCAGCAGGATGAAATATCTTCTGTTTAAATTTGTTTAACTCGGTAGAAATTGTTGGCCTGTTTTGAAGATTTTTGTGTTTTTATTTCCAGGTGATTCCTCCCAAGGAGTGGAAGCCCAGAAAAACCTATGATGACATAGATGATATGGTTATCCCAGCTCCCATTCAGCAGGTGGTTACTGGCCAGTCAGGATTATTTACACAGTACAATATACAGAAGAAACCCATGACTGTGGGAGAGTACCGGCGTCTGGCTAACAGTGAGAAGTATGTCAGTGTTAAGTGTGCTTCCTTTGTGAGTGGAAGAGTAGCACAGTAAATCTTTCTTTCCGACAGCAAGCTGGAAAGAAAATACAATCAGCTATATTAAATAGAAAGCATTTTGAAGCAAACAACATTTTCTTGATAATTGACCTCCAGAATTTCAAACCAGTAGATAATTTCATGGCTTTTGGTGTGCATCTTTGATCTTTTTCTCAGAGTTGGTATAGAAAGTTTCTTTGAAGTCAGCATCTGACTAAGGCTGTGCCTGAAGACAATGACTTAAGGCTCTAAGGAGAGCTCCCAGTCTGTTAATTGTTATTCTGGAAAATATGTTTCAGTGCTCAGATACAAATGCGAGTGCGCTTGAGTGTGTGAGTGTCTTCTGAAGAGCCTGGGAATGTTGCAGAACACTTCAGTTAACTGGGAGGAGCTAACCCGTACAAGCTGCGGTTGCATCATTCTTACAGAGTCATTTTCCCAGAGCTCTGGAATATTTCAAGTTTTAACTCAAGCATTACTGACAACATGCAGTCAACTTTGAAATATTGCTAACGCAGCCTATAAGGGTGCTTTACCTGTGTTCAGCAAACTGTAATAACTTCATCTCGCGCGTTGCTAGGATGAGGATTTGATGCTTCATGTAAGTGCTCATCCAGTTTGTCAGTATGCACTAAGAGGTTTTGTAGGAAGATTTAAAAGGCAGTAAATGTGATGAATTTGAATAGAATTAAAAATGTAATACATCTTCAGCAACCTCTCGAGTGTGTGTGCTTTGAATGTGAACTTATTTTTATGGGCAATAGAAGATGAAGAGAGAAGAGGTTTAAAAGCACAAGTTGCAGGACTAGAAACAAAAACACTTGTGTTTTGTGCTTTGCCGTAAACATGCATTGCAAGAACTTTAATCTGATTTACTTTTTTCTTTGCCTTTTTTCTCTTTCTTACTGATTTTTTTACACTCATATAATGTAATTTGTTATATAATAACAGATTTAGATAATTTGCTGATTATTTGTACATTGCTTTGAGATAATGAAATGGAAGATACGATAAAAGCATGTCCAATTTTACTGTGCTGTATATAATCTGCTGCCTAAACTATAGTTTTTTCTGATGCTGACTAGTAGGAGTGTTAGCAGGTGTTCACAGTGCTGAGAAATGCACTCTTCTTGTCAGCCGTTTGTCTGTCTGTAGTGAGAGTGCCGTAGGGCTTCTTGCTTCCTTGCCTCCTCTGTGTTCTTTTCAGATATTGTACGCCACGCCATCAAGATTTTGAAGACTTGGAGCGCAAGTACTGGAAGAATCTCACTTTTGTCTCACCAATTTATGGGGCTGATATCAGTGGCTCTCTGTATGACACAGTAAGTGAGGCTCCTCATTAATGTGTGTTTTTGCTGAACCCATTAGGGAACAGTGATTTAGAATTTGCTTCAAAGGCAATGAACTTAAAGCTGTGCCTGTAGTTATCTTTGGAGTAGAATGGCCTGTTGTCTGGAGTGTTGTCTAACTGCCCACAGTATAAACTCTCTTGGTATAAAAGTGTCTCTCTATTATCATTATGGTTTAGTGTGGATTTAATTGGAAGGAACTTAGATTCTGAAGTCACCACAGCCATAGACCTCAAAGTTACCCAGTATTTGGTGCTGTGATGAGTATCATGTACTTGTACAAGTTTTTGGAGAAGCAGTTTCTTCATGTACAGAATGTATATTGTTTCCTTCAGTTAACTTCAAGTTCCCCTAAACAGAAATTAAATAATTGGATTACCAATGACATCTAAAGAACATTTCCTGTTGTCTGATTACCAATACTGCTGCAAGCATTAAATTGTTGGAATAATGGAAGTCTCTCTGCACTTCTTTTCATCTCCACTTACAGCTGCTTCCTTTCTTCAGTTCTTTCTCTCCTGCCTGTTTTTTTTTGTTTGTTTGTTTGTTTTGTTTTGTTTCTAGTTTGATATAGAAAGTTTAAAGATTGAGCAGTTTGTTTCACTTTCTAGCTGTTAGTCCAGGAAGCAGTACGGAGCTGGGGTTGCTTGCATATGTATCAGCTACTTACCTGCATGTTAAGCACACCAGAGAAGGGACATGAAAGGAGGTGGTTTGCTTTTAGAGATAGTAATAGGCAAATCTGTAGGCAATTGCAAGGTTAAAGATTTTTATCAGTTTTTTTTCTATTCTTTATTGAAGTAGAGAAAACCAATAGCCAGTTTTAGAACCCTTCCTATTATTACTTTTTTTTTTTATTTCTGATAAATACTGATAATTACTAAACCAGCTTCCCTATTCTTTATCTGAAGCACTGAGCTCATGTAGAGGCCTCTGCCTCATAGGCCACATTTCAGTCTAGTTGTTCTGGTCTGCTTATACATACTCATCAGGTGAAGAACATCGGGGTGGAATGCCAATGAGAGAAGCATATTTTACCCTTAGTTTATCTCACATTTATTAGTAGATCAGTTAATGAATGGTAGAGTACCAGAGTGAACGTGCCTCTTCAGAGAACACAGTGAGAAGATAGTAATCAATCCCTTTACCAAAAGTAATAGTAATGCATCCTTTTCGTGATTATTGATGAAAGTTAATAGTAAACCTTCCGGAAAAAGGTAGAATTAAATTAATGCAAGTAAATGGACCTTCAGAATAACACTAGGATATCCACATGTTAAGGCAACAAAAGGAAGCTGTAGGCTGTTGCTGTGCTGTACCAAGTCCTGATGTGCTCTAAAGCAAAACTTTTACTTTGAATTATAGGATGTGGAAGAATGGAATATTGGCAATCTGAACACCCTGTTAGACATGGTGGAACATGAGTGTGGTATTATTATAGAAGGTGTAAACACTCCCTACCTCTACTTTGGGATGTGGAAGACAACGTTTGCTTGGCATACAGAAGACATGGATCTCTACAGTATCAACTACTTGCATTTTGGGGAGCCAAAATCCTGGTAAGTGATATCCTGATAGGTAGTAGCTACATACCATTGTCTTGTTGTACTTGGAGACCATGTGGAGTCCTTTTTTCACACCTAATTCCATCAGGCCTACATAATTTCTCACTTCCCAATTCCCCCCCCCCCCCCCCCCCTCTCTTTCTCTACACTTGAAAACAATTTTATTTTCTTTCTGGTTTGACTTGCTTGGCGACTGAACAGCAGAATTAGGAAGGCTTCTTGATATTATGATTAAAAACAGATTTTAGCATTTGGCACATTTTTGGAAGCTAGTGCACAGGAGAGCAAATGATGATAGGAGTGTGTGGATGCTTTTGAAGTAATTCAGTAGTGTTGTTTTTGCACTGTTATGTTGGTAGGGGATTTCAGTTACTTTAAAAGTTCCATTTTTTAAGTTTATAAATATACTTTCAACTCCAGAGACAAGGTAGGCTGAAGTATTCTTAGAATGGTAAGCATTTTTCAACACTGCTGATGCATAAACTAGTTGGAAATAACTTTCCACAAAAGTAGTTAATAGATAAGGATGAAATTGAGAAGCTAGCAGATTTGGAGTAAGTTAGCAAGATCCAGTATTTTTTTTTTTTTCTAAAACTTCTTATTTAAAAATATAACCAGAGAGACTTAGTTAACCCAGAAGAGCTTTGCTGAAGATCTTGATGTGACTAATAAATATTGACATTTAAGCTCTAATTTGCACACAAATGTCAGTGTGGAACTGCTGTCATTATGCCCTGGCACTGGCAGACAAGACCCTCCCAACTCTCTGTAATATGAGTCCCCAGTGTCACTGTGTATCTCCAGGCTGTTAGTGTCTGCAGGCATATAAAAGCCAACAATGAAGATCCTGTGATAAATGGATATAATATTCTTCTACAGTCTTGAAAAAGGGTGGAAAAAGGGGCTGGGCTTGAAGCATTCAGCTATCAATGTGCCCTTTAAGAATCTTTTCCAACATGTCAGAAAATTTGTTTTGCCAGCATTTGTGATTCTTTGTTCAGGCAATTAGTTGTACAAGGATTTTGCAGAATCACTTATGCTACCTCTGTTAAGCGAGTTGGATTTCAAGAAACTTGGATTTTAAATGAAATGGAGCATGCTTTCATCTTAGATTTTCAATTTTTTTTTAGTATGTCTTCAGAGGCAGTTAGATCAAAATTTGATACTCATCTCCAGTAGGTGGTGCCATGAGCACACAAGAACCACTTTTCTTTGCCCAGACAGTGCAGTGACCATCAGCATGGCGTGCCACTTTGGAGTGTCTGTTTCAGCACACGAGAGTTAACTGCTATGAGAGTTGTACAAGCAGCTGGCCTGAGGTTTGCATGATTATCGTGTCGTCATATCTGCCTCTCCTTCCATGCCTGTGTGTTATGATGTTTGCCTGGCCTGTCTTCTGCTCACTTTTTGTTCCGATCCTGCAATAGAGGGTTCTCTCTTTCAAGAAGCAGAAATAAGAACAGGTTACTTTGAAAAGAAAAGCTTGCTCCAACATGAAACTAATGCCTTTACAGCTTAGTAACAAATAAGCTCTCACACTGTGAGCAAAATTTAGAGAACAGATGCTAAATGAAATGTACACTGAGTATTTGTGGCCTTGAACTAGAACTGTATAAAACTTAGGAACTTCATGTCATAGAATTGAATTGCTCAGGTTGGAAAAGATCTTAAAGATCATCAAGTCCAACCGCAACCCTAACCACAGTACCTTAACTCTAACAACCCACTGCTAAACCATGTCCCTGAGCACTACATCCAAATGGTTTTTAAACACATTCAGGGATGGTGACTCAACCACTTAGGCAACCCTGGACAGCCTATTCCAGTGCTTAACAACCCCTTCTTCCTTTCCCTTTCTTTGTCGTTATTGTTGGTGTTGTTTGTTTGTTTTGAGTAATGTGAATAACATTTGGGCGCCAGCATATTGTGTCTATCATAAGGATGATAAACTTATTGCATGAAGCTGTTCTAAACAGTGGCTTTTCCTTATGTTCTTATATATGTTTATTTTCTTCCTTGTGGAAAATACAGATTGCATGATAGAAAAACAAAGAAACCCTTCAAAAAGGAAATCCTCAAACACCTGCGTGTAGCATGGTGTATATGAAGAGGGTAAGAATAAGAAGAACTAAAAACTGTAGATGGAAAATTGTGTCTGACAAATACCAGATCTTAAAAGTTCTCAGTAGCTTTTATTTCTGTCTAATCCTGTTAAGGAATTTGGGGACATGCTAGGGGAACACCTGATTGCTCCCCTAAGAAGAGTTTCAGTTGTTGAAGAATTCAGCTGCTAATACAAATGGAGAAGACAGATCATACAGTCTACTTGAAAGGAGCTCAGATCTTTCTGGTTAGAAGTCAAAGCAAGAATATGCTCTGGACCTGGTTTAGGAGAAGAAAAAAAAAAAAAAAAAGAAAAAGGTATTTTTACCATGCTTAAAAGGGAATGAAGGGGACCTATGCAGCTGTTCTGTAGTTGTATAGGTCTGTTCTGTAGGTCTTTTTCTGGTAACTAGCTGTGTAAACCTTATGCAGTAGGAAAGAAATGAGGATTTTGAGGTTTGACCATGTTTCCTGTTCAAGTGAGCTTCATATCTACATAACTGTGTCATGCAAAAATAGTTGTATTGTGGCAGGATGCCACTGGTGGTTTGGAAGGCCTTAATCTTGTTCCCTGAAGTGTGAGGAAAGAGTATGCCACTTGCCTAAGTAATTTCTTTCTTCTTCTTCACCCTGACTACTTCTGTTAGTAAGTTCTTAAGCTCTTCTGTGAAGAAGTGTTGGTTTCTGAGGGGTAAATCTGAATACCGCTTTGAGCAGACCTGTAACTTTGCATCCATGCAAGCAAATGCTGATTTTTCTGGATATGATTGCAGTGATCCCAAAGGTCAGGTGGGGGAGCTCTTGGACTTCAGTGACTAAATGCCAGTGGTGCAGCCTGGCTTACCTCAAGGATGGTTGAAATATTCGTTGTTTTTTTTTTTTTTTCCCTGGCACTACCTCGGTAAAAATCTTCCCAGCTTCCTTCATCCGTTTTATAGACTCTTTGATTCTAACATTGATCATCTTAGAAACACCTCAGGGAATAGCAGAAGTGTGGAGAGTTATGGAGTCTACCCGTTTGGGGTTGAGCTCTATAGTAAGAGACAGCATTACTGTTTAGCTGTCAAAGATTTTTGCATATTGGTAGTATTTTACCCCCAAATTGTCTGTTAAAAGCATAACGCTTTCTTCATGTCTCTCATAAATTATCTTAGGCTATTTTAATTTGAGCCATGTAACCAAAACCCTACTTTGCTGAATAGTGAATAGGAATGGTGAGAGGCCATCAGTGCTATTTTGTTATAAATGTAAGGTGTGAAAGGATTTGGGCCATTTGAAAGTGCTTCCCAGATCTCATTTAAGTGAGTTTGGCAAGAAATGATCATGTTTATTTTCTATGGGAGAGGTAGAAGTGACTTTTCAGAGAGGTCTGGATATGGTCAGATCACGAGGAGCCACCCCAGTGGACAAAGATAATCAGAATGAGAAATCACTCTATTTGTAGATCTGAGAAGATAGGTATTGAAGTGTTATTTTGCATGGATCTTTTATTTCTGTCTTTGGAATTCTAGATTATACCTCTTGCAAAACAGAAGCTTTTGGGACTGGAATCAGAATTAAGATAAATGTTTGTTTCAGCAATTGAAGATGGCTTCTTTGTACATTCCAAGAGGCAGCTGCATGGCCATACAATTCCTTGATTAATATCTTTCTTTCACTGCAGAGAAATCCTGCTGCCAGCACTTTCTTGCACTATTCCTTTGCCGTAAACTGAGTGGAACAGACAGTAGCAAAATGAGCTCTAGTGTTGTGTCACTAGGGATGCAGGTTAAAATACTGTTCACTGCTAAGTGAAGCGCTTGAGTAATGAAGGGTCATCCAGTGATGGGGGGAAAGCTGAGGGGGTAATGGAAGAAAGCTTTTTTCCTTCTTCCACTCTCATGAAATGATTCTGTGTTTGTAGATTGCATTGCATTTATATCTTTTGTCTCCTAACAAGAGGAACAAGCACTGTTGTCGTTAACCAGTGTAACTGCTGATGCAGAGTTACCTATCCTGCCTCTTTCTGAAGTTGATCCTCTTCTTTGTTGCACTCCTTCGAGGGTATACGCATCTGGTCTACCAGTGTAGTCACACTGCTGTTGATTTAACTGCAAAATAAGTCAGATTAGATTAAGGAGGTAACCTGGAAGTTGTGGGCAGTGTCCATCAAATGTATCACGAATTTGTTGTGTAACTTCATTTTAAGCTTCTCAGGCAGGGAGCTGCCAGGCTGAGTCTGTTGCTTGCTTGTTCCTCAAATTACAAAGAAATGTTGCTCTCGCATTAGTAGCTCAATTACAACTTTTTCATGGTCTGTTTTCTTCTGTTGTTTTTTTTTTCCACCAGAAGTTTGAATGTATCTCATTTTGCAGCCCTATATTAAACCTCTTGTGGTAGGAGTTTTTGGTGTATCAATTATACATATGATATATAATTACCTTATACATTCATATGCTGAGATCTAAAATTGAGCATATTGTCAAGAGATGCTAACAGAAGACTGATTTTTATAGTGACAGAAGCAACAAAACTGAATGCCAAGTCTTAATACTTCATGTTTATTACAGCATTTTACTGAGGAATGTATGCATCACAACTCTTGGAATTTGAAAAGCATATCTTTAAACACTGAAATACTCTGCCATCATTTCATTTCATCTCAGTAAAATAGTGAGTGTACGTACATGCTCTCTCCTGGTATAAATTATGGTCTTGCATATCATTTATGTGGGTTCTCTTCCTGTGTTATATACAGGTTATTGTTTTACACTCCTGAATTGCTGTAGCAGTAATAATCACATTTGGAGGAACAAAGTGGTCTGATACTGCCAAACCAGCAGAGTAGCTGCTAACTTTACAGAGTGGTGAACAGTGCAAGTTCCATTGCTTAGATACTTTGTGACTAATTT